AACTTACTGAAACATTCAAGTCGTCTAATTGGCCTGCTCAGGTGGACGCCGTTCATTTTCGTCTGAATTTTTATTTCTTTCTCCATAAAATAATGAGACAACGAGGGGCGCTGGATGGGGTCCAGGAAAGTTGGATGGATCTTTCATAATCCTCAATTTTCCCATTTCCACTGTCAGCCCTGCTTCAAAATTTCAGTTGGTGCACTAGGGCTGATTGGCCGTGGCACAGGTATTGTATTTTTAGTGCGTACTTGTATGGACTTTACAGAACCTTTTCACTGGAAATCTTCTTTAAACCTGACCTCCAGCCTCCCCTTCAGTCTTGCACAGGTGTTCAAGCCCCTCCCCTTCAGTCTTGTACAGGTGTTCAAGCCCCTCCCCTTCAGTCTTGCACAGGTGTACTGGATCCTCGCCTTCAGTCTTGCACAGGTGTACCGGCCCCTCCCCTTCAGTCTTGTACAGGTGTCCGGCTCCTCCCCTTCAGTCTTGCACAGGTGTACCGGCTCCTCCCCTTCAGTCTTGCACAGGTGTACCGGCTCCTCCCCTTCAGTCTTGCACAGGTGTACCGGCTCCTCCCCTTCAGTCCTGCACAGGTGTACCGGCTCCTCCCCTTCACTCTTGCACAGGTGTACTGGCTCCTCCCCTTCACTCTTGCACAGGTGTACTGGCTCCTCCCCTTCACTCTTGCACAGGTGTACGGCTCCTCCCCTTCACTCTTGCACAGGTGTACGGCTCCTCCCCTTCAGTCTTGCACAGGTGTACCGGCACCTCCCCTTTAGTCCTGCACAGGTGTTCCAGCTCCTCCCCTTCTGTCTTGCACAGGTGTGCCGGCTCCTCCCCTTAAGTCTTGCACAGGTGTGGCGGCTCCTCCCCTTCAGTCTTGCACAGGTGTATCAGTTCCTCTCCTGGACTGAAAGAGCTTACTCTGATACCACTGCACACTGGGAGCTTCTCACAATGTGCATTAGAAGCTGTAGCAAGTCATACAGACTCCACCTCATTTCCTGGCTGGAGAATGTCCAGCATCATCTAGCCCTGTCCTACCCAGCCTGATTGTTCACCACTTTCACATGTTGCAATAAAAGCGGCTCAGCATCACATGTGGGCATTACCTATGCAAATGCAGCCTGCCTAGGAACTCCCACTCCTCCACACTGACACTCACTCATCAAGGTATTTTGATATTTGCATAACTCCTCCCACTGCTGAGAGAAGTACAGAAGCAGGGGGCTGTGATGTTTTCAGGAAGCTATGTACAGCATCCTGCCAGCCAGCCCCTCCCCCTAGCCTTGATCTGCCTGCATTGCATAGAGAGGCACGAATTGCAAGAGATGATATCACTAAAATAATTAAAGTATTGCAAACAGAAAGGTTTTATTTTAAAAAAAAATCATTAGCATGTTTATGAGGAGGAAAGGAGGAACCAGGGAAGATGATGCAACTTCAGCTTTAATTTGGTTGCCATCGCTAGTAGTAAGTGTAAGAAAGGGGGGAGGGGGTGCAGTGAATGGTCCTCTGTTAAACTATAGCATGAGATGTTGGTGTTGCCTGCCAATGTAAAATGTAGTACGTTGCAAGTACATCTCTCCGCTCAGAGATGGCTATTGTACAGAAGACAAAAGTCACCTTTACAGTTACACCCCCCACCTCACCGGATCCTCCGCTAGACTTGCACCATATTATTCTGCTGCTTGGCTCCATCCATCACCATACAGATAAAATTATAAGGTACAAGTACCAAGCAGAGCTGTCTGAACTCCACACAAATCATTTTCCTGCTCATTCTATGGGTTGGGGTTAATTACAAGCATCGCTAATGAAAGGAGATACTGGTAGACTTAGAGCCGGACATCAAAAGAGGCTGAACGGCACTCTGAAATACCGGAACCTCTGTAGGAGAGTTTTGCAGAATTACAAAAAAAAAAACTATTTAAAGCCAATCCATATAAACAATCACTGAAACATTTCTTAAATTGTATAATCAACTGGAATCATTATTTGTATGAAATTCCCATTTTCTTGAACAAAATGTATTGATTTTCTATACAGCAAGCTAGCCTTTCCTAACCCTTTTACCCCTGAGGAACCCTTGAGATAGTGCTCAGGTCTCAGGGAGCTTTAGTTAAAATGAGTGAATTGTGGGTCAATGGGAAGAATGCCCCATTTACAGTGGTGGTCACCCTTTTAGATGGCTACAAAGATCTACCAAGTGGCATTGGACACAGAGTTATGGAGGCACCTTTAGATGGGAAGTCAACCAGCTACAGTTCAAGGAACCATCAGATTGGAGATCAACCAGCTACAGCTCAAGGAACCATGAAGATGGGAGTTAATCCAGCTACAGCGCAAGGCAACATCAGATGGAAGGTTGACCAGCCACAGATCAAGGAACTATCAGATGGGAGGTCAACCAGCTACAGCTCAAGGCACCATCTGATGGGAAGTCAACAAGCTACAGCTCAAGACACCATCAGATGGGAGATAAACCTGCTACAGCTCAAAGACCCATCAAATGGGAGGTCAACCAGCTACAGCACAAGGTACCAGTCAAATGTCAACCAACTACAGCGCAAGAACCCATCAAATAGGAGGTCAACCAGTTACAGCTCAAGGAACTATCAAATAGGAGATCAACCAGCCACAGCTCAAGGAACCCTTTAGATGGGAGGCCAACCAGATACAGCTCAAAGAACCATCAGATGGAAGGTCAACCAGCTACAGTTCAATGACCCATCAGATGGGAGGTCAACCAGCTACAGCTCAATGACCCATCAGATGGGAGGTCAACCAGCTACAGCTCAATGACCCATCAGATGGGAGGTCAAAAAGCTGCAGTTCAAGGAACCTCTACAAACCTCTGAATGAACCTTGGGGTTCAATGATGATGATACGTTTTTATCTGCACGAACATCCAAATTTGCAGCACAAACTTTCAGGATGTATCTCTCTCTTCAGGGTCCAATCAGTACACAATACTTGGACTTTGGAGAAGGGGCTTCATCCAAAACACTTGTCTTGAAAATTTTGATATCAATGCAGGTAAAAAACAGTATCATGGACATGACTTAATTGTTTTAGGGTTTCTTAGAATCCTGATCGAGAATGGCTGGAGTGAGGAATGGTTAAAACCATTTTCTTCCCACCTGTATCCTTTTTAGCAGATCTCCCTTTACTTCCTGTCCTGTAGACACAACAGGAAACAAGTGAAAATCCTCTCTTAGCAGTCATCCCAACAATTGGAAGAAGTCTCTATTCCAGTCATGGTGACAACAGAAAATCTTTGGATTTTCCCTTACTTTTAGACATCGTGATTATGGCCCTCATGACAAATAGAGAAAGTAAATCTACCCAATGGGGACAAGGGCAACCACAAAGATCAGACAGGAGTACTCGTCCTACACCATACATTTCAAAACTAAAAAGATTTGCCCTTAGACACATGTTGAAAATCTACCTATCTTCTTGAATATCTACCCATCTTCTGGGGCTAAATAACCACAATGCACGGGGTAAAGTACCCACAATGCATGTGGGGCAGAACCCAAAATTATCTATAGGGAAATAGAAGGGCGGACTCTGAGTTCTCTCTCTTCGGACCATAGTTTATCCATCAGAAGAGTGTATGGAGAGGAAGAGATGTCCCTCCAGGTGATGCAGCAAGCACAACCCGATTTATTAGGGGCCCGGCAGTCAGGAGGAGACACAAAGCGCTAGGCGATACAGATTGGAGACCATCCGGATCTGGCGGCTTCATATTATTTTCTTGTTTACTCTTCTGCTCACACCTAATATCTTAACGAATCGTTATCTCGCTGGAAAGGCATTTTAATAATTCATAGGAGGTGCAAGGCAACTAAAACAAATCAATTTTTTAGCTGGTGACCTGAAATGGTTCTCATCGCATCGGTAATGTTCTCTCTACTCCTCACACAAGGCTTGTATAATTGGATTTGTATAAATTAGGTCAAATGACCAGTGATAATGCAAGAATTACTACCCGTGGCATTCTCAATTTTACCTGTACTTCATGGGTAATATATTTCAATGATTCTTCATTTTCATGAGCAATAAGAGGATGAAAATGGACTGTGCGGGGCCTGAAGTTCCAGTACAGGGAGGCGTACGGGGAGAGACGGGTTTAATACAATAGTGTCAGAGGATAATTGGGAAATGCGAGGATGATGTCTATCGGGGGATATTTGCTGCCCCTCAGCCTTATGAGCACAGGTAGAGCGCAGCTCTTTAGTCGTCATTTCCAGGCCCTTTATTAAAGCCTAAGTGCAGGGAACATTTATTATTTTATAAAAATCAGCACAAGGGACATACTTACATTTAATGAGAATCGTTCCTTGTGCTGTTGCCAGCTGTCCAAGTTGAAACCCAACTTTGCCCCCTCATACTCCAGCCATAATCGGACGATTCTGCAGGAGTTAATATGAATGCTGGACCTGTCACAGGCACTCATTGAGAGTGCCAACAATGTCCACCCTTTCCACCCCCCTCCTCCATTCATAGAAGCTATAGCTCCCATCAATGAAAAGCAATCTATAAATGGAGGACGGCTGGATGAATGAAAGGTCTGCCTCCTCCATTCATAGACTGCTTTTCATTGATGGGAGCTATATTACAGCTTCTATGAATGGAGTAGGAGGTCAGAAAGGGCAGCCATAGTGCCTGTGATGGCTCCAGCGACACAAAAGAAGCGTCATAAGGGACTACAGCACACATGGACAAACACAACTATTAAGGAGGCAGACAATTTTACCTGCAGAAGTGTGAATTGGTACCTGCTGTACATTTAGTACCCAAGTCAAAATCAAGCACTGGAGACAAAATATCCAAATTTAATTAGAGATGAATGGAGGGAAGCTTGCTGCAACCAAAACTCCCAATTTCACTTATTAAACTGTAGGGGGAAAGTCCACTTTTACTATGTTTAAAATAATGAGAGGAATGCTGGTCTGTTCTTTGCACATGGTGGATCCTGGTCAAGGGCGTCCCTAGGGTTGGTGTCACCTGGAGCGATAACACTTGGTGACACCCCCTCCGACGATCCCCGCAGAATGGATCAGATCTGCAGATTGAGCATAATGGATCAGACTCCGATCTATTATGCTCCCCAATCCGCAGATCTGATCCATCCTGCAGGGATCGTTGGCTTGCTTTACAACGTACCTTTTTGTGGAGAGGGTCCGGTGTCACCCCGTATAGGTTGCATGTCGGCGATCCCCACAGAATGGATCAGATCTGCGGATTGAGCGTAAGGGATCAGACTCCGATCCATTATGCTCCCCAATCCACAGATCCGAACCATCCTGCGGGGATCGTTGGCTTGCTTTACAACTTACCTTTTTTGTGGAGCGGGTCTGGTGTCACCCCGTATAGGTTGCAAGCCGACAATCCCCGCAGGATGGATCGGATCTGCAGATTGAGCATAATGGATAAGACTCCGATCCATTATGCTCCCCAATCTGCAGATCTGAACCATCCTGCGGGGAACGTCGGCTTGCTTTACAACTTACCTTTTCAAGGAGCGGGTCCGGTGTCACCCAATGCGGTAGGTGTCACCCTGTGCGGCGCGCACCACCCGCACCTGCCTCGGGACGCCACTGATCCTGGTGATTCTGTATTCTGGAGAAAGGTGGAGTGACAACAGAGGGAAGAGGAGGACAGACAGCACAATGCTCTTCTGTGGTCTCAATAGGCTAGCAGAGTGGTGAAGTGGTTTCTCCTTTTCTTGGAGAAGAGCTTCATTGTTTAACAAAGCTCTATTTGTTGTTCTATTCATTTAGACAGCAATTGGGTCTGGTGAGTGTGCATTTAATTCAAGGTGGGGGCAAACTCTATTTAACTTACTATATGAAGAAAGGTCACAGAGGAGAAGACTGTCCTTGAATATTTTGACATTGGACAGTTCATTCCTTTTTGGATTCACACACTTGTCACGGGTGTTGTTGTTTTTATTTTCTTTTCATTTATATTTTTACAAGCCCTGCAAACAATTGTGTTTTGTATGATTTCGGTGTGTTTTGTGTATGAACACTTTTTGCTAGCAGCTAATCACCATCACTGAGCGCTGGCCTTCTTTCTAATTTTATGTTCTTGGCACAGCATGTCCAGGACAGGTAAATGGCGTTTCCGTCACCCTCGGGAGCCTTAGAAGCCCATTGTACCCTTAAAAATCATCATAATCCCCCCTTTCACGCTGACTGATACATTTCTTTTAAATCTGATTTTGCCCAATTTTCGGGAAGATATAAACTCACAATTTTGCTCACTCCTAGATTAAAATCAAGGAGCGGTGACATCACCCATTGTCTTCTATAGCCCTGCCATTGTCAGCACTCCCTCCTCTCCCCTGCAGCTGCCTCTCACCGATACAGGGGAGTCAGAGCTGCCAGACCCCTTGACCGGACCAGAGCAGACTAAGAAAAGGTAAGTATACAGATCTTTTTTTATACAGGTTAGGCAATATACATAGGATGTGGGAAGAAAGGCTTTAAATCCACCTACCCCATCTCTCCCCCTCTCTGTTGGGGTCCCCCAAGGCTCTGTCCTCAGACCCCTTCTCTTCTCCATCTACACCTCCTCCCTCGGCTTCAACTATCAGGCTTCAACTATCCACCCCTCACCTCACCCCTTCAGTCTCTGCCCGAATCGCCCACCTACTGAACGACATATCAGACTGGATGTCGCTCCATTTCCTCAAATTGAACCTTTCCAAAACCGAGCTCCTAATTTTCCCCCCAGCCCGTGCCCCCCACCCTCTCCATCACGACCAACAACGCCACCATCAGTCCCACCCCACAAGCCAAAGTCCTAGGTGTCACTCTAGACTCAAACCTGTCCTTCCAACCCCATGTCCAATCGCTGGCAAACTCATGCAGACTCCACCTCCGCAACATCTCCAAAATACGTTCGTTCCTCACCCCAGACACTACTAAACTACTCGTTCACTCCCTTATTATCTCACGTCCGGACTACTGCAACTCCATCCTCACCGGCTTACCTCATCACAGACTATCCCCGCTTCAGTCTATCCTGAACTCAGCAGCCAGACTCATCCACCTTACCAACCGCTCCTCTTCTGCCACCCCCCTTCTGTCATTCCCTCCACTGGCTCCCGATTGCCCAACGCATTAAATTCAAAATACTAACATTGACGTACAAAGCCATTCATAACGCTGCCCCAAACTACCTCACCGACCTGATACCCAAACACCACCCAACCCGTACCCTTCGCTCCTCACAAGACTTCCTACTCTCTAGCTCCCTGGTCTCCTCCTCCCACGTCCGACTGCAGGACTTCTCCAGGACTTCTTCCATCCTCTGGAACTCACTACCCCAATCCATCAGACTGTCACCTACCCTCCTCACCTTTAGGCGCACCCTGAAAACCCATCTCTTCAGGGAAGCCTACCCCACCCTCACCTAACAGCCGATCTCCTCCACTCCTCCTACCACTCCATCCCCCACAGCCACTTTTTCCTGTACCACTATCCCCTCCCTCCTAGATTGTAAGCTCCAAGGAGCAGGGCCCTTGAACCCCTCATGTATTGTTGTGTTACTGTATTTTCTCATGTTCTGTCCCCCACTATAATGTACAGCGCTGAGCAAACCTTTTGGCGCTATATAAATCCTGTATAATAATAATAATAATAAATCCACATTAATAGTGAGGAATTTTAATAGACTGTGGAATAATTCTGTTTCAAATAAAGCTTTATGCATTGACATGCCTCCAATGACCCAGTCCATCCATACAGATTTTTTCCCAAAAAATTGTGTTTGAAAAAGCACTGTGCAAATACCATGTGGTCTAACAAATTGTTGCAATGCCCCCGATTTTACTCTCTAGGGCCTCTGCTTAAAAAAAAAAAAATAGTAAAAAAAAGTATAAAAAAAAAAAAAGTAATATCACCCCCTCACCCCCGTTATACCCACCTGAACACTCACTTGATCCAGTGCTGTGCCTGTCTGTAGCGGCTCTGGGGGACGGAACGGCGGGAAATTTAAAAATGTAAAAAGAGACATTCACTAAATTCACTAAAATCAGATAGTATAACATTCCTGTTTCAAACCATTTCACATACATTTTGTCCCGAGTGCTTTGTCCGGCGCCCTGCCTGCATTGTTAGTGTTCTTCTGCCTGGAAACTGAGAAAAGTCCATGGCGTCCAAAAAGCGTCCCTTTAGGTCAAAAGTGGTTTTAGACCGGCTAGAGAACAGCGATAGTAAATCAGAACCACTTGCAGAATTGAGTGATAATGATTCGTGGGGGAAATTCCTCATCAGACACTGAAAACGATTCTGCGACTGAGCTCAGCAATGTGCGAACTTGGCACTATATTTCACATTTCAGTGTTTTTGGTTTGATTATATTATTGAATTACATTTATTATTATATTATTTTTTATGATTATTTATTAAAATTATAATTTATGATTTCGTGTTTAAAATTTTATCCTCCCCGGGATGTTTAATAGACTCTTGTTCGGACAGATTTCAGTGAGTTATTCCTAAAAATTACAGGCCGACAATAAAAAAAAACTACATATTTCCATGCAAAAAAATGTACCGCTTTGAGCACAGAAATACTGACATAATCAGACCGCTAGGGAGGCTATGAAAAAGATCTTTACAATCACTCTAATAGCACCCCCAAATCTATTTTAACTTAGATACACAGCACCTCCATCCCAACATTTGATATTCTGATTTCTCTGATCAAAAAGTTCATGGGGTTTCCCTGCGGCTGCATTTTCAAAAAATGCATGCCCCTTTTTTTGCGTGGAAACGCAAAAACGAATGGGCTGCCGTGCCCGAGCAAACCTGGGCCGCAGTGAACCGAGCCTCACAGCTGCTCTCCATTACCTATAGGTGTCTCCTTTCATTTTTTGGGCTGGTTCCCAATCCTCATGTAGCTGTGTACAGCCCTCGTCTGTCCTGATTATTACAGTGCTTGGTGCTATACAATTATAATAGCCAGGAAGACTGGACTGGAAGAAGGGCTGTATAATGAATGATTGTGTGTTCGCTCCCAGTCTTAATGATGGCTGCAGAAACAAGGAACAAAAGCCGCGAGTGAATACACAGAAGCCTGTAGTCTATACGCCGCACTGCGTGACACCATCGTACATCCACTGACAACTAATTACTATGCCAGCTATTTTAAGGACTTGCATAAACACCTTTGGGTGACAAATTCCTCCTCGGTGAGACCTCTATGTATGCAGAAAACCCAGCCTGATTCCACGCGCCGCTCTTATGAACATTCTGGGTTGCGTCTTTACATCTCTCTGCATTAAATGTGCAATGTCTGCTTATTTTCACATGGCTCCATCTGCTGCGGGCGGTGGGCCAGCTAGCCGGGGGTTCTTGGCTGGAGCATCCTATTCAACACCTCTCGTGTGGATGATAAAAGGACCCGTGGATCACCTGTGTGGAAGCAGCATGACACGAATACGTGACGGCATACGTTCCCTGCGCTGTAACGCAGGGAACCCGGAAGAGGGAAATACCAAGCTGATATTGGTACACGTGGAAGGTGGAACTGTGAGGACGGGGGTGTTCTGGGTTGGAGCCCCCCTAAAGTCACCAACAGGGGCGGACTGACAACTCATGGGGTCTCCGGGCAATAGGGGATCATGGGGCCCCTGTGTCCTTGCCCAAACTCAAAAAAAGCCTATGAAAAAGGTACCAGGGGCATCTCATGGGGCCCCCTACTTACCCCCGGGCCCTCGGGCAGTGCCCGAGTTTCCAAATGGTCAGTCCGCCCCGGTCACCAATCTTAATTGTTAGCTCAAGGTTCATTTGGTTAGCGGGTCTGCCAGAGACTCACTTGACCATGGAGTTTATAAAATGGCCTTGGCTGCTTTTGGTTTTTATAGGTTTTGGCCTCTGGGCATCATCAGTGAAGGGCCTCTAAATGAGCCAAGAATCCAAAATACGAGGGTGTACTGAATGTGATGCAAAAGTAGCCATGACATTTTAATTACCTTACATAGATTGTTCAGATTTCACATGTTGGTACAGCAACTCTATAGTAACTCTTCTTCTTTTTCATTGCAGGTACATAATGGATTCCAAGCAGAAGCCATGTGCCATCATTGAGGTCTTGATGAAGGAGGGGTGTAGGCTGGCTGACATCCACAGAAGCCTACTGAATGTTTACAGAGATGACACCATTGATATGCACAATGTCTTCTCATTGGCGACTCTTGTTTATGGTGTCATCTCTGTATTGGTTGAACTAGATGGACTATTTTCAACCAGTGTCTTTTTTTTCAGCAGGACTAACTGTGTAACATTCTGCACCCTTATGTGGATGCCGGACAGCCTGCACCCCTCCATCAACAAACCAGTGACAGCATGTTATTTCTCTTTGGATTCAATTATTTACCTGCAAGTTAATAAAAAAAGTAGGCATAATATTTTATTAACTTACATAGGTGGTTCAAATTTAACAAGCTGGTAGAGTAACTCTTCCTCTATAGTAACTCTTCCTCTATAGTAACTCTTCCTCTATAGTAACCCTTCCTCTATAGTAACCCTTCCTCTATAGTAAATTTTTCTCTATAGTAACTCTTCCTCTATAGTAACTCTTCCTCTATAGCAGTGTTTCTCAATTCCAGTCCTCATGGACCCCCAA